TTGCACGCGCGCACCCAGTCGTGGACTGCACGGCGCCGAGTTGGAGCCGAAATCGCTGGCGAGCCGCGTGATCGGATCGAGAATTTGCGAGAGACGGCGACCTGATGACGAGCCGCGTATCTCGTCCATCGTCTTTTATGTTTCGTTGTTGCTCGTCGATCTTATAATGACGCCTCTTTCTGCCCGCCGACTTCTGCTTCTTGCCGAAGGATCCTCAGTGCATCTGGCAGCCCTCGTTTATGCTTCCTCCCTCCTCGGGTTATCGCGTTCTTCCTGCGAGGGACCGACTCGATACCGACGCTCGGGGAGCAAGGGCTGCTCATCCTCGCCATTTCGTTACTTCACACGCTCGTACAGTCATCGTCGATCGCGACATCAGTCTCAGGCTTACGCTGCGACCTATAAGAAAATTTCTTCTTGAAGAAATATTACAGAATCTTGCGAGTGATAAAATAGAGAGGGTCGACAATATTATATAGATATGATTTGACTGGGGAATACCCATTTTTGAGTAAAGTGCTACTAGAGATATAATGGTCTCTATCTTGTCAACTGTCTGACATTTTTTCTGACCGTATTTATATACAGATTACAATACTACGTGTAATAAGATTTTCAAATTACATATTATATAATTTCATAGTTTACGTTCTAAGAATTTATTATATTCTAAGAATTGCAATATAATTGGCATGATTCACGATTCAATGAGGAAATCGTGAAAACATTTGCTCAATTCTCTTGCCATTTGATCGTTGTCGTGAATATTTTATCGACAAATTATGGCACCAAACTCATCTGTCGCTGAGCGTTTTCGACGTTTCGGCGACAGAGACAAGAAAAATGCGACGCGGAAAGATGGCACGCAGGGCTGCAAAGTTTATTTTAAGGTCGACGTTAAAAGGAGCCAAATGAAAAACCGGATGGAGGGAGTGGATGAGCGCAACCCGTCTCGTTCTGCAATTACTACGCGAACGACGGGTCGGCTCGTGAAAAATTCCAGCCTTTGCGACCTGCCTCAGGAAGTAGATGACGAGCACAAAGGGAAACTGAACTTAATGCAAATATAAAAAAAGAAAGAAAGAGAAACAACCGCGAGCGTTAAAATAAGAGAGAGAAAATAAAAATCTTAATTATAACTATGTACGTTTCAAGTGATCTTTAAATATGTTTAAAAGAACAAAAAAAAAATATTTTTTATAGTACTATTAACTTTTATAGTACTATTAACTTTTATAGTACTATTAACTTTCTTTTAATTTCTTTTAATATAAAATACTATATATTAACGTGTGATGTGTTGTGTGTGTGTTTTGAAAAACGAGTATTTTATTAGAATTTTACTCAGATCATTCTAATTTGTTTGTGAATGGCTTCTATTCTAATTATAAAGAGATTTAACATTTTCATCGTTAGAAAGAGATTATTTTAATAAATTAAAATTCGTAGCGTAAATCAATGACAAATGTTAGACGTAAATCAATGACAAATGTTAATTTTTTTACGGGAATTACGACATGCTGTTTATCACGTAACACAAGTCGTGACTCGCGAGTCGTGACATGTGACATATATGTGACACGCTGTGAATTAGCTTTAAACGGTCGTGAGGTCACCCAATCTCACAAGCTTGCCGTTAATTTACCGAACAATCTCTCCTTTATGCCATTTATATTCGTATAATTTTTGACAGACTGTATATCTCCATTTGTATAACATATTATACTTATGTAATATAGATTAAAGTGATCCTTCAAAGCTATTAAAAATTCAACTAGAAAAAAGTTTCCCTGATACACACATAAATATATAAATAAAAGATAGCGACTAATATACCACAACATTTTGAATTCTTCAACTAATTTAAAGTGAATTTTTTTTTATAGAATAAGATGTCAAATATTTTTATAAAAATTTTAAAATATTTGAAAATATATATAATTAAAAAGATTATTGAATTAAATTTTAAATATGCAAATAGATAGTAAAATTTTACCTTTTTTTTCTCAATTTAATCTCTCTCTCTCTCTCTCTGAATCTCTAATTTAGATTTATTACAAGAATTTTATTTAAAAATTTAGTTTGAAATTTTATTTTATTTTAAAGTTTAATCAGTTAAAAGTAAACTGAAGAGTTATTTATAAATTTTGGAACTTGTGACAAGTAACGTACATCAGCTGTTTTGCCGAAGAAAATTCAGATCGGTCAAAGAATCCGTAGTACTCGTGAAGGGTGTCAGATCTAGGCCCACCCCGTATGCAGACGATGCTCGACCTCCGGTCCCCCGCGGTGTCCATGAATAAATTTCAAATTAACTTTCGAACGATTTCCGCGTTATACGAGGCGCGACGGAAGCCCTCCGCAATCTCGGAGGCTCTTACGAGGAGGCAGCCTTTATATCACCGAGGGTTCGCTCGCACTCACTCTCTAAGTAAAGCCTCGTCGGAGACTACGAGGAAGACTTTCATCGACGGTGCTGATCGTAAAAGTATCGCGGTTCAAAAATCCGAAGGCTTGCGCGGAATATCAAGTTGCGAGATGCGAGAAAGGTGCAATCTAAAGAAACTCGATTGCAAAAAAGATATTGAGATATGAATCTTTCTTTCTAAATATATTAAATTTGTTAAAAACGATGGTTGATAATAGAAATGTTTTTTATATATAATCAAAGATATTTCAATTAATTCTCATACAATTAATATTTTAATTTCACGTAAATAAATCTATTTTCGTCAAAGAGGAAAAAATCGTGTTATACACAATGCAATTCTGTCACGAAGAAACACTACAGGAAATTAAAAACCGAAAAATGCGCAGTAATTCCAATAAAGGATTTTCCATTTATGAACGGATGTTATTGTGAAATATGCATTTCACAATAATTAAAAAAGACAGTCCTTTATTGGAATCTAACGCAAACAGCATTATAAAAAGAGCTTCGAGAAAAAAATTGAAAAACAAAAGCTAATTAAGTCGTTGCGATATGTGCTATTAGATATAAAAAAAAAAGAGAAAACAATGATAATCCATTTCCTTGAGTTAAATAACATAAATAATATTTTGTTATTTTTAATTTTCGTATTGTTAAAAAATGTAAATTATACAATTTTTATGATTAGTTTTAAAATAAACAATGTATGCACTTAGTAAATAATAAATTAAATTTTAATCAAATTTAATACATTTTCTTGAGTTAAATTGTTTAATTTCATTGTTTTATTAATAATATATTGTTAAATTAATAATATATTGAACAATAGCAGTGGCGAGTTATAGAAATAATTAGAAATAATGAATTTAATAGTGTGGAAATACAGAATTCAGGAATTAATTAAACAGTGTCAATTAATAAAAGGTTAAATAGGGAATATATGTATATTCAACTCAATTAATTCAAATGTATACAAAATAATTTAACTACAAAACAATTTAAGCACACTGAAAAAATTTACTAAATTTTAATAAGACATTTGTTTGAATAATATCAACTAAATATTTACTAAATGTAAAGCTATATTATGTATATTTATCTGATACAAGAAATGTCACAATTTAACTATCACTTTTTTTATTGATTAAATATTTATTACTATAAGCGAATGTTTAGTTGGCATTATTCAAATAAATATCTATTAAAATTTAGTAGATTTTTTCTCAATGCAGATATTTATGTCTTAGCACGATTGGATCATTCGTATCCTGCACATTTCTTCGAAAAACTACGAGTTACTAGTTCTAACATTTCTTTAAAGAGAGTTTACTATATAACCTTATAAATATTTTCTAAAGACGTCAAAGTATACGTAAGAATCACTTAATAATTGTGTATATTTGTTAAGATGATGAAAATTAATCCGAAACACGAATGATATATCATTCGTAGCAAAGGACCGAAAAATCATTACATGTACTGAGGCTTATTTATGTGTGGAAACAATTTTTTATCATTATAATTACATCGTATCACGATAACAATGGATGCATTCAGTAGAGAAAGCAGCTTTGCAACTGTTGTAAAATTCTTTAATATGATTAGTTTATACATTTAGATCCAATAAGAAACTAAGAGCAAGACCACACTGAAAGAAAAGATTGGCTGCTGCAGCAAATTAGATAGTAAAATATGGCATAACATTTTTAATTGGCTGAAGTAGTCAATTTTTGGTTGCATTAGCCTATCCGCAATGTCAATATAGGATTTCGATAGGCTAACGCAATCAAAAATTGGCTGCTGCAATCAATTAAAAATACCATATTCAGCCAATCTCCTCTTTCAGTGCAATCGTATAAAAAAATTTTTTAACAGTTGCAGAGCTGCATCCAGAGAATAGTATTTAAATTGAAAAAATCGTTTCTTTCTTTTTTTGTTTAAAGTGAAAATATCTTTGAAGAAAATAAAAATTTACTTGATTTCAAGAAATAACGTTCAAATCGAAGAAAAATTTGTTTAATTTCAAGAAACGACGTTCAAATAAAAAAAAATTTTTTTTTATATAGCAATGCACAAATTTCTTTGATTCAAACAAACGTTTTTTTTAATCAAAGAAACTGTTCTCTGAGTGCGCTTTTTTTCACTGAACGCAGCCATTGATTAAAAGAACTAGGGAGAGAGGAGGGGGGCTAATATTCGGCAATATTTTTCTTAGATATATCTTAGATATATCGTAACGGTAGTCAATCGTCGTTGTTGGAACGCTGTTTTGTCATTGCATAACTAGCGGCGGTCACGAAGCAAGCGGTAACTGTGGGCCGGCCGATCGGCCAACGCGGCGCGCATTTTGCATAAATTACGCGTCCTTCTGTCCGGCTTGATCGCGTGATCGCGCGACGTTATTGTCGAAATGACGTTGTACCGTGAGGCGGGCTACCACTGCAGGCGCGGCAAAACAAATAGGCCGCCGGCACGTGAAACGTATGTGTACAACAGACGGACCCGTGAACGAGCGTGCCGTCGGTTCCGGCTACCTCGCGACAAATTTCATTTCACAACCGCGCTCGCGTCCGCCAACGGTGGGACCTCGGGACCGATATCGGTAGCGATCAATTTACGTGTGTGCGATATGTTCCTTTTTTTTTCCTAGGAAATCAATACCACCTCGTACCGAATACGTTTACGAATATTCGAGACATTACGTTGATTTATTGGATCGTTGCGCGTGAGACGTCGCGATCCAAAGGTTCAGCTTTATGGAACGCTTTACAAATACCTTCGATTCAGATACTATTTTTGTGTATTACAAATCGTTCTGGTGACATCATTCTTTCATAAAAATATGCTATACTCCAGTTCTGGAATTGTGCAAGTAGAAAATATGTACAATGCAAATGTAGTAAATATGTGTAATGGAGAAATTGTAAGAAATTGGAAAAAAATTCAGATACGTCTGACATCTTATATTACAGAGTGACGTTTTGAAAACAGTTCGTGACATAAATTCTAGAGACATTAACGTGAGAGAACAAAAATAAATATCAGCAAAATTTAACACAAGGAGCGATATAATGACGGAATCTGCGGACAAAAATAATTTAGTATTTTTGAAAGTAGTCCATTTTGACACTTCGCTTAATTATCAATTATAAAGTTTGTTGATAACTTGATATTTCCTTTTTCTTCGCTACATATTCTTTCTGAAGCATTTACTCAGTGATAACAATTACGATATTGTAATTTGAACATAGTGAACACCGAAAGAACGGAAAAAAGACTCTAAAATTTTAGATTGATATAAATCTATAAATAATTTTATTTGGACCATCAAAGTATAAATTATGTAAGATGCTTCTCAAAATGTTTGTTAGAGAATATTAAAACTTTTTGCAGCACATTAAAGTCTAAGCGTTTTACATAATTATTTTGATGATTTAACAAAATTATTTTCAGATTTATATTCAGCTAAATTTTTAGATAAAAATTTGAGCAGAACTGTTCTATTTAATTATTTTGATGATCCAACAAAATTATTTTGAGATCTGTGTATCCAATTATATTTTTAGATGCTAGCAAAAAACTATCCTATATAATTATTTTAATGATCCAACAAAATTATTTTCAGATTTATATTCAGCTAAATTTTTAGATAAAAATTTGAGCAGAACTGTTCTATTTAATTATTTTGATGATTTAACAAAATTATTTCCAGATCTGTGTAATCAAATTTTTAGCAAAACTGTCCTAATAATTATTTTAATGGTCTAACAACATTATTTTCAAATCTGTGTAATTATAATTAAATTTTTAAAAAAGCTATCCTAGTAATTATTTTAATGGTCTAACAATATTATTTTCAAATGTGTAATTAGTTGAATTTTTAGATATTTTAGGAAAACTTCTATTTAATTATCTTGATGATCCAACAAAATTATTTTGAGATCTGCGTACTCAATTAAATTTTTTAATATTGTATCAAAACCGTTCTTTTTATTAGCAAGAATGTTTACCACACGCATGTTTGCCGGTAAACAAATCGAATCTCGGATCTTTCCGGCAATCCTTATCGCAAGAGCACGTTGTCGTGTTAACGTTATCCGGAGCCAGCTGTTGCAAAAGGTCCCCGCTGATTCATGCCGGGTCCGCGATATTTATGTACTGAAAATCGGTGTCGCGGCACCGGGCAACGTGACGTCGATACGACGCGCGGCGGCGCGGCGCGACGCGTTCGATTCCGCGAACCGCTCGTAAATTTCTCGCGCGGACGTTCGTTAAAGGAAACCCGAGAAGTTCATCGTGAGACAGGGAAAGAGAAAGAGAAAGAAAGAGGAACGAAAGAGAGAAAATGCCGTACTCTGTACTAGAGGCGCGGACAAAAGACGAATTCGAGACCGATGACCTTTCTCCCTCGAGGGAGAGAAGACACATGCAAGAGAGAAAGAGAGAGAAAGAGAGGAGAGGGGAAAACGGAAGGAAAGGAGGGAAGAGAGCAACGAGACGAGAGAGCGTAACAGGCGAGAGGGGAAAGAAGGAGATTATAAGAACGAGACGAGGTGAGGAAAGAGCGTTCGGGAAGACGCCGTTAGTCGATCGAGCGCTCGATGACTGTTTAGCATTCCGCTTCTTCAGGGGGGGGAGGAGGGGAAGGGGAGGAATAACGCGCTTCGGGAATCACCTGGTGCGGCGGCGATCGACCGGCGATGCCAGTTTTCAAACTCGTTTTCTCTTCTCTCCTTTTTCCTCTCTTCGTCGTCGCCGTCGTCGCTGTCGTTGTCGTTGTCGCTGTCGTTGTCGTCGTCGTCGTCGTCTCGTGCCTCCGCTCTTACGCGCTCTCTCGCCGTGATTCCCCTACTCTTTGTCCACCCTTCACGCGACTCTCCGCGCGAACGGCCCGGTCTGTGTCGGTCCTTCCTCCGCGAGAAGATTCGCGCGAGGTAGGCCGCGCGACGAGGAGTACGGTGTTGGCGAAGGGTCGACCGACCAGCCGGGGAGAATAGTACCGACCGTAGAATGACAGCTCGCGCACAAGTAGGTCAGGTACCGGAGCAGAGTGAGAGTGAGGGAAGGAAAGAGGGGGGGAGAGTAGGAGAATGGAGCGAGAAGATAGATCCGTCTCTCTCGGAGCGAATTCTGACGTCCTCGCACGCTGTCCCGGCGATTCGCGATTCCCGAGGACCCTTTATAGTCTCTCTCTCTCTCTGTTTTTCCGTTCCCTTCCCGCTCCGGTTCCACGAATAAAGCGTGACGAGACGTAACTCACCTTGCTGCGTACGGGGCTGAGGTAACGGCCCGTGACGATTTGAAACGGGCGCACTGAACACACTCCATGCCTCCTCTCCTGTCGAACACCAACGGCACGAGCACACCGTACACCACCCGTGCGCGTATGTATGCGCGTGTGTGTGTGTATGTGTATATACGTGCGTTACGTATGTGCGTGCTCGATGCGTGCGTGGAGCAACGCGGGGAGGGTGTAATACGCCTCGGTTTTCGGGGGTTTCACAATTAGAGGGAGGCACGAGGACGCGCCGTCACCGGTCGGACGCAGGTGGTGGGCATTGACGCGTACGAAACGCGGACGATCACTCGGCGGAGGCGCGAAAAATTGGGAAAAACACGGGAGTACGACGGGTAGTCGTACGGTAGCACGTCGCGTCGCGAAATACGCGTGCGAGTCGGCCGCGCTCGGCCGTGCTCGGCTCGGCTCGGCCCACCGTCGCGCCGTGGCGACTTGGCGAGCCGCCACCGCGCGGTGGCGCCGCCACGCGTCAAACGCGACAAGCTTCTCCGAGTGTATTATACATTAATTAATTGGAATAATAATCATGAGCCATTATCCGAGAGAGGCGAAATGCGCGAGATGAATTGCCGCTGTTGCGGGATAATACTAATTTCAGACCCTCAACGAGAGGATGAAAACAAAAGCAATATAATTTCTTGCGGATTTGTTTTAAAAATTGCTTATATATATTAGAATAGTACAATTTACAGACGTGATATTGGCCCAATATATAATTTCCAATGTATATACCAATGTAAACATTGATTAAAATTTTTTAATTAATATGTTTCACCAATAAATTGTGTTATTGCATTTATAATGCGCTTATACATAAATACTTTACAGTATTCTTTGATATATATCGATTAGAAAAATTCTTTTTTCTGGTTGATATATCAATCGAATATTTAGAATTTTAGAAGCGTTACGAAGTAATCAGCCAACAACGTATAGAAATTTATTTTAATCTACTGACCCCGATTTAATACTGGAAGATAAATAATTAATTATTTATTTTGAGTATTTTGAATAGCACAGTGCTTTTAATACTCAAACAAAGTAATTATAATCATTATCTTCCAGTACCTAAATTCTCGCAAGGGCGAGATTCGAATTAAATATTCTTTTCAAAGGTGAGAACAGATGATAATCAAATAACGATAGGATAAATTACCATCAATCACATTCGCATGTAGTAGCGATTATTTTCATCATTGCGAACACTTTACAGGATACGTTCGATAATTAATTATTGCGTGTAAAATTCACTGTAAATAGTATTATAATAATAGCAAAAAATATCGAACACGTCAAATACAATTCCGTGATTCCAAACCCATGACTGATCACTGACTACAATTTGGAAAGCGATACTTCGAGAATCGCAATATCGAAGAACGATAGTCTCGAAGTATCGAAACATTTGAAATGAAAATCAGTACAAAAACTAATGGCATATTTCGCGCGTAATTAGATAGCTGCACTTTCGCGCGAAATGTATATTAATCTAATCTAATCTGTAGGGAGAAAAAGCAAAAAGTGGAAAGTGCATCTAAAACGAAGAGTTGCTATTAGTGCGAAAATAAAATATCAAATGCGCTTTGCAATAAATTGTTATAAACTGAAATAATTTTATTACAAAAAAACACTAAATGAATTACACACAGATTATTTAACATAATGGAAAAAACAAAATTCGAAATATTGTAAGAAAGAACTATAAAAAATGCCTAAAATAGCATATTAATTGCAACAATTTGTTTAATATAATTTCATTATTTAAAAAAAGAAATAAAAATATCAAAATTCGTGGTAAAAATAAAATTTGAAACTTATTCATTGAATTATTAATATAGTTTCGACAGAATATTTTTTAAATTCATAGATTTAACATTCAACTTTTTGACACTTGAAATATCGTTTTACGATACTTTCAATACTTGAAACATCGTTTTACGATACTTTTGAAAACATATTTCAGACATTGAAGTTCAGCACATTTAAGTTCAACACATTCAAGATACGTGAAAACGCGTGAGTTTTACCAAAGAATTTCGCTCATTTTAGAGCGAACCACGTATAGCTAACAATTGTATACTATTTTATACATAATAATAAAAATATTAAAAATCAAGTAGTTTTAAAGCCTAAAATCTCTGCAGAAAGCAGCTAATCTTTTACAAATATCGCTTTACTCGTTCGGTCACTCATCATTAGAGCTATCAAAATTTAGAAATTAATTAGTTTTTCAACATATTAACATTTTTATAATATAATGCTTGATTGAGCACCAAATTATTAAAATTGCTTGTCAATTTAATTCGCGATATATTATTACAGTAGTTTTATCGCGTTTATGGTCCGGAAAAACAATTCGGCGCGCAGTTCATGCCTAATATGGTATATATGCAATTATATATGTAGTATATATATATATATATATTATATAGTAATTCAAGATTGAATTATTTAAGCAATTATTTAAAAATCCAGCTTCGATCATTATAGGTATTTAATTTCTAGTATTGATTGTGTTCTCACATCATCATCATCTCAGTTCTATTGCATCTAAAACTCATAAGTGAACAAAGTAATACAAATTAATATATGCGCTAGAATGGCAATTTATAAACCTAAGCAATTAATTTTATTTTACCTTTACAAGTATTGTATTTTATCCGTTCAATATAGGTTTATTTATGAATTTTTTATTTTATTAGTTATGATTATTAGTTGTAGTTATGTTTTATCATATTAAGTGACTATATTAGGACTGCGTAAGTTAAATAAAATTTCTTTTCAACTTTTATCACTGTTATTTCTTGAATAAACCTACTTTTTGTATGTGTGGCACATAGTGCCCCATGTATGAGGCATCTTGGGTCATTTCGTAAAAAATACTTTTTTTATTTTTTCCTCAAAAATCTACATATAAAATAATTTCACTTACATATAAAATGGGCAAAATTCTACATTAAGTACAATTACATGATAGATTATCTGACATTATAACGACATATACCTTTCACATACAAAAGAATGGAATGCTTTATCCCTGCCGAATCCCATAATATCTTTCAATACCTCTCCAGTTATCGGCAGGTTGTTTTGATAATTATGTATAATCTGTTTAAAAGATGACGATGCAGGAAAATTGGTATCTAAACGGTAACTTATCCATTTTACAGCATCCGGTGGTAATGCATTATCAATGGAATATTGTTGAGTTATCAATTTTGTTAAATTGAAACACTGATCTAATATCTTCTTAGGATCAAAGATAATGTAATTTCTACATTTGTTGAATACCTATGGTAAACATTCGAATTACATTTTAAAAAATATGTCGAATATTATCATATACAACCATAAATATAAAGTATCCTCAATTTATTGCATTTTTCTGGAAAAAGTAGCGATAAAAGCCAAAAAGAGGAAAACTAACGAAATATTAAAGTTGTTATAAAAATAAATATTATGTTACAATAAAATTGTTTTTTAATTAATTTTTTCTTAAAATATAGAACGTTTACGTCAATTGTGGGAGTGCTTTATATTTATATAGCCTATATTGTACATATATATCTAGAGCTTTTCTATTATATCTTGCATATTCACTTACTTCGTTATCGTCCATTTCATAATTCATATCTCCTAACAACGAAACACTCCAGCAGAAAAGGGCGCTTACTGCTATTTCGGGATACTTAACAGCGACCATTTCTTTAAACTTTTCGAAGAATACCAACAAAGTTGGTTCGAAACATTCCAATTTGTTGCACGGTTCAAGTCTACAAATTATTTTAGACGCATCGAGCCGAACGTTCGCGTTGTCATCGACTAATAATTGCAACAACATTGTCCACCAGTCCAATACGGGATCTGTAAAGAAATATTTTTTGCATTACTTTTATACTGTTACGCGATTCTAATTTCGTTGACATTAGAAATCCTTGATTCATACGGCAATGTTCCATATCGATGTCCTTTTTAAAAAGTTCATACAATATATCGAAAACTGATAATCTGAAATCTTTATCTAACAAACCAATCCATCTATTGTCACAGATTTTTCTATAAATGTCTTCTATATGTTCCATCCTGAGCTCTTTATCCTTAAAATAGACATAAAAATATATCAAAAAAATTTAAAAAATGTATCAAATACATGATAAGGACAAAAATAAAGAACAGAGAAATTGAAAAAAATAAATCTTAAAAATGAGTAAAATAACGAGCGAACCTTCCATTCAGGAGTTAATGTCATACATTTTCCTAGCAATCTCAAGTAATTAGCACGTTGAGAATAGATATTGTTTGTATCATCTAGATATAATTTCTTAAGAACCAAAGTACAAATTGCACATTTGTCGCAACATTCGTCTATGTCCGTCAGGCTGTTATATAAAAAATCAAAAATCGCATCTTGCAAATTAGGATTAAATTTATATAAATCATCAGCGAAATAGAAAGCTGTATGAAGAGCAAAAACGCTCAATAATTCTCCTTGTAGATAAGATTTCATCTTTATTATTACTTCAAAAACAGTAGTCCAAGCAATACTCTGTATCTCAGCTTCTGGAATGATCAAAAGCCGCGAATATATGTTGAATGCTATACTAGATCCATTGTACATCGTTTGCAAAAACTTTGAATTCCCCATACGAAGTATAAATTTGATTGCGGACACTTTATACATTTGTTCGCCCGGTCCTTGTTTTAATAGATCTTTCTTGACTAAGTGCTGCTGCAGAATATGCAATATATCTTCTACATCACAACTTTCAATCCTAAAAACATGAAAAATGTGTCAGTATAAAATTTGTCTTGATGAATAATACGATTGGTTTCTGTGAAATTATCTTTCTTACATATTTTTGTCTAAACTATGAAGGATGTCAATGTATACACTAGCTATAGGAAAACAACTGAACACATTAATTTCTTTTTCTAATCCTTTCAATATCCAATCTGTCGCGCGTACAAAATTTGTGACATCAGATTTTAATAGCTGCATGTGGACGGATGACAATCTCGTCAAAATCTCTAATATCTACAATTTAATCAATTGAGATAATATTTTAATTATGCATTTTATACGTTTTAATTTTTAATTTGGAATATATTTGATATTTTTAATTTAAGTATTTATCTTAATTATTCTTTATTGTTCTTCTATTTTTATTAAGTTTCATACTTGCCTGTAGTAAATAGCCATGTGTGAGATTTGAAGAGATCTGAGTATGTTGCGCAGTACATAAAATTACAAATAACTTTTTTAAAAAGTTGTAAGCTGTACTATCTGCTAATAATGGCACTAATGCTCTAGCTGCAAGTTCACGTGTTTTATATACCGGGCTTTTACCACATTCTGATACCAAATTAACAATTTCATTTATCTGAAAACACATCTGCCATAATGTTCGTCTCTAACGGACAGGGGAAAAATTGGATTATATATAAATACCCAATAAATATCGGTGTCAAAATGGCAATTAATATACAATCGTGACAGCAGCAATAAAATTACTTGGACGTTGGATCTTATCATGATTTTTTCTTTACTCGATGCAGTTCGCAATTCATGCAAAATAAAATCAAATAGATTGGGATATCTTTCAAAAAATATTTTCGCTGTCATTTTGTTATCCGTTGTCAAATTGATGTGATCTTTGGTTCTTTGAACACCAAAAATTCGAACTATAAGTGTGCTGAACAATAATGTGGCCGCATTGCGTTCCTATAATTCAATTAGAAATTATTTTCTGCATAAGCATAGTTAAAATAATATTCATTAAAATAATATATAACACACTTACCGACCATTTTATACTTTCATAATTCCTACAAGCAACTATCAAAGCATTCATAATATAATTCTTAGTTATATCTCCGAGTTGAGAATGTCTAAATAAAGCTCTAAGAATATTCATAGAATGAATTTTTATCTCGATCAAGTCATGATCAGTCATTTCCTTACACTTTTCTTCTATCTGTTCAAATAAAATTAAAAACTCAGATTTAGAAAATATTGGATGTCCATACATTACGTCCATCATTGATTGACGTAAAGAAGCTGTGCACTTAATCTGCGCAAATTGTAATAAAATCGTCATAATCCAAGATGCAAACGTTTCTGAATTATTTTGAATTTTTGGTTCTGAGGATAGCACTGCCTATTTTGAAATAAATTCGTTTTAGTATTATATCCTTAGATCTCTTTTTTTTTTGTAAAGTGATCTTTAGCCCATACCTGTATCATAAATGGAATACCTGCACTTCTTCTTGTTGCACATAATACATATCCCGGCTCGAATCCCGTAAAATACACTAAGATACT